TCCGGGGAGGGGCGGAGTATGGGAGTGTTGGAGGAGAGACATCCTGGACAATTTGCCTTCAGTCTGGCTAACAGGTCCAGTCCAGACACCCAGCTCAGAACAGCAGCTCCTCCTCGCCCTCAGCTGATCTTAGCCGCCGATGAGTCGAGAGCAAGAGGCATTGGTCTCGGCATGAAGATTCTCTCTCTGGGAACCTGTTGGAAGATCCTCTACAAGACCTCTTGTAGATGGTCTTCTGCTAGATTGAGGTGAGAGTCCTTTATGCGCCAAGTTGTTGAATGTCTTAACCGTTCCTTCTTTTCTTCTCACTGAGCTGCTCTGACAATTCCTTAGAACAGTTTTAGTGCACTCTAGGAATTTGTTTACTGCCTTTTGGACAAGTCCTCTTCAAGGTAACAGATTTCCTTGCGCAAGAGAGGGGGATGAAATACGCTTCTGAACCAACTAGGTAAGAAGTAGTGTTTGCAAGTAGTGTTTGCTTTAAATTTGTAACACGCTCATAGGATAGACTCAAGGGTCAGTGAGACACCAAACGTACCATAAAATTGGTCAAAGAATATAGGCGTAGACAATGGCTTCATCCATTCGTTCTTTATCAACTGTTCTTTCTGATCCTCACCCTCCATTCTCCAACACCATCCCAAACCATCATCCTTGAAAATGTTTGTTTCCTTCCATTTCATCTTGCTAAGTGGTACAGTTGTCCGACATTTAGAGTTGATTAGCGCACCCATCCTTCCCATTCCCACTAAAATGTCCCATGGGGCATGGCAAGTAAGAGGGTAATATGATTACCACCCAGATAGATGGGCAGAATCTAGGCAGTTTTTTTTGTAGGGATACTCCGGGATACCTTAGGAAACCTTACGACAAGAGATTTTGTAGTACCAAGTTCAGATTTAGACCTAAGGTCCAATTGCTGTGGGATAGATGATATTGGCATGCTGTGAAAGAAAGAGACATTAGTAGTTTATTCTTATTTGCCCCCTAGAGCAGTCAATTTGGGCAAGTCAAGAAGCTGGGGAGCTTAACAAGACAACCGTTGCTCCAACAAACTCTATTTCTATAGATTTTCTGAAAACCTCTGAAGAATTGAATGACAGCTAACTCATTTAATTACCAAACCACTCTCGTTTGTTAACCCCCTTTCTGGAGCTCTCGAGTTCCATGTCACTATTTTACTGAAATTTTAGAAAATTGACCATTTTGTCGACTGGTCATCAGGCATGGGTAGTAGGGACGTGTACGATTTTCGGAGAGGGTGGGGTTTGACGCAGTTTTTGCGCAGGAAGGGCGGTGCCTACGAATCTCTGCAGCGAGAACGTGACCTATGACTAATCTTTTCTTTTCTTTTTTTTAATTTTGCAGACATCCTTAGTCGCAGTCTATCACAAACACCTTTTCAGCTCCTCTCCCACTGTGTGGGACACAGTTGCTCTCGGTCATCACCTGCAACAACTCTATGATACTGCTCTTCTCGATTTCATGTGTCTTCCAGTTTTTGGAAACCTGAATTCAATCCTTTTTAAAATAGATACAACATCGAAGGATGGCTGAAGAAGACTCTTGATGACAACTTTTGATGGTCTTTTTGAATTACCTTCAACCAGTGATCCATGAGTTTGCGGTTCCACCTCGACTTGGAGCCTTGATCTGTTCCCAGATGTCCTTTATTGTAATCTGCATGATTTTGAACAGCATTTTAATGTCCATGGACCATTCTGTCTTGTCTTTTGTAACAGATCCAGAACCTGGACGAGTTTCTACTGACTTTACGACTTTGCCCAGGACACCATTGTGCTTGATCTAACCATGCAGTTCCCTTTCTGTCCATGGTTGTGCCAAGCACTTTGGAGACTTGTGTGCACTTTCTTTCATGTTTTTCTTACTTTTTGTTCATTTCCTCTGAGCTCCACAATTTAAAGAATCAAACCTTGTGCAACAGTCTGTTGAAGTGTAATGTTCTTGTCCCAAACGAGAGTGTTTTAAAGAATAAAATCCCTTGTGTTGTTTTGTTTGTTGAGTGTGACATGATCATTATAGCTAGAAAAATGAAACAAGGAGTGGAAATGGTGACACTGTGGACTAAAAAGTGTTAGTTCTGTTGCCAACCAGCACTTCCTCAACAAAGCTGATACCATGGCTTGGCTTGACATATTTCTCTCTTTATGTCTTTTCCATTTCCTTTTACAAAATATGAGCCGTAATCATGTATACATACCCAACAATACCCCCCTCCCCCCCTTTATTTTAATTTTAATTTTACAATTTGTTTGAAAATAAGGTAAGAAAAAGTCAATTGCACTGCCAAAGTCTAGCTGCATCCCCATTCATCCTAAAATATGTATGGTTAAATTTGGCACGTCAGCCACCGTTTTCAATATTGAAACAATCTGGGCAAAAAGGCTTTAGTAATGCAAGTCTTGGAGTAAATGCAATCTTAGATGAAATCGGGGAGGTCATGATGGGTGGAGCTCACTGCAGAAAGAGCAGCATTTACAGTCAGTCTCCAGATGAATGAACCACTCTGTTTTACCGTCAGAGGTCATGTTCGGTTGCACTGCTCAGCTCCAGTCATTTTCAAAGTAATGGACTCTGCTTGGACATTGTGTCATCTGTTCGTCTGTGCACAAGTATCTTTTATTTAATACTTTGAGATTCAACCTCTACAGGAGAACAGCTCGCATTGTTTATAGCACCTCATGAAGCTTTTGAACACTAGCTGATTTGCCAAGCGGTATAAAAAGATGCATTACAATCATAATATGGATGCAATCCATCAATAAATGCTACCAGAGAATTCCAGCCAATGAAAATGTGCTATAATTAAAGAACAACCATGGCAACCATGTACTTTGCCGATATATATATATATGCTGAAGTCAGTGGTCCGGATGTGATGTGCATAATGAACAGTAACAACAGCAACACACACATCCATATGCATAACTTGACTTACATTTACTGTAACAAGAGAATGGCAGTAGTGTTTGCAAAGCTCGCTGACACTGCTGGGTGTAGCCAGGGCTGTTCTCTGCAGTTATGCCAAGCTGCTTACTGGTCAAAGTCAAAAACAAAGGTCAATTTTGTCTATATGATGTTAAACTTTTTTTGCCTATTTTATCATCCACTGAAAATCATTCGGTACAACTGTCACATTTAGGTATCGGGATGTTTAGATCAACCCTCAAGATTAGCAATAATAATACTGATGCTGGCCCTAGCAAACACCACTAATAAACAAGACTAAGTTAATACAATCTATCTATGAGATATGTTATTGGACTAACATCTGTCTGCTGATATACCCAGAAGTTGATGATTAAAAGCTATAAAAACATTACTTAGTAAACTATTTTGAATTTCACATTACTCAATACTGTCTACATCAATAAAAACAAAACTCAGAATGAATTCAAATTTATTTATTTTCACCAATTAATGATTTAGGTGGTTCATTTTCACATTTGAGCAAAAAAAACGAACTCGTGCTCCAGACCTCTCACTCGTTCTATTTCACTTGATATTACAGTAGAAGAACGCTCCTAGTTTAGATATTAGAAAGTAAAAATACTACCAAGTGCATTAAACTTCAGTTAAGCTATTTTTTACAACATCCGGTGCTTTGACTCGTGACACCACATCAATGCACTTTTCAGTGTACTAGAGAATGTCTGACATTTCAACATGATGAAATAGCATGATGAACACTAAACATGCTCAACCATATTCAGGACCGGTAGAGACATGTCAAATTGACTGGAAATAAATTAACACGGTTATTTTTGGTAAACAGAAAAATATATGACACTGGGAAGTTTGCATTTGTATGTATTAAGGAGTATTACAAGAGCCTTTTTCTGTGGTATTCGATTCCTTAGGAAAAGACGACGTACCTTTGACTGACCTCTGTGAGCAATAGTTTTAAACATGAAACAAAATCATAGAAAACCATGATCACCAACCATGACAGAGCAGTTGATCTTCAATAAAACAAAACAAATAAAGAAAAAAATAGTATTTTCGCAACCTTTTTTTTTTACTTAAACACACCAGAATGTAAACAGGGCGGAGTTATCAGTGTTAAAAACACAAATACATATTTTTATGAACCTGGCGTGACAAGTGTATTATGATTGAATTAAAAAAACAAGAACACAACAATACAAACAACTGGGGGAATTAACAATTTCATTACATATAAGAGCGAACAGAATGGATTTTCAAAAGCAAAAAGTCACATGGTTGGGTATATAGATGCATTCTTTGGGACCAATCACATTTCAAGTGAAGCATAATTCCACTGCAAGTTTAGTTACCACTCCAGAAACGTAACGTATGCAATATGCAACACAGGAAATTGATGTTTCAAGAAAGTGTCACCATCAAGTGCTTCATTCAAATGAAGATGTCATATATTTATTCAGTATATTTTTCACATATCCACCTAGTAACATCTCACCATGGGATTCAATAGATCTGCTATCATTTTAATTGTCCCACTGCAGAAACCATGAAAAGAAACAACAAAAGTCAACATGCATGTACCTTTGCATTTCCTCAGACGATTAACATATTTTTTTCTCCACACGGCAAACTGAAGTGCTACTGTATCTGTAGCTTCACTGCTAGGTTATGACAAACATCAGTATGAAACGATAGGACGGAGACCAGAAACTTGATTTACGGTATATCCTCAGGATGTTCAAAGTCATTTCTGTTCAAAGTGTGTAATCTGCATTAACAAGCCAAGCTTGACTCTACCAAAAAATTTTTTTTTTAAGTATAAACATGTATAATACAGACAATCCCATTAAAGTGGATTCCCAAACACACACAAAACAAACTCCCATTATTCTTTGCACTTGCACAAAATCCATCCATCCTGCAGCCTGCCCTTCCACTTTCATTACAATATGGATTCAGACAGCATCACTGTCTCTCATAGCATCCTCATTTGCTGAAGTTCAGAGTACAAAAGATGTTTTAGACTTCGCGCAGGAGGAAGTCCAGCCAGTTCGTGAGGATGTTGCGGTTCACATAAGACACGCCTCTCTTTTGTTTCCAGAGCAGGTTTTGGTGATCCCATGAAGGCTGTTTGGGTTTTACTGGCAATGAACATTCAACACAGTAAATGAGGACGATGGGGTCTCAATCCGGTTCTGCCGAGAGCAGTTCACCACAGTATAAGCTGGAGAAAAGAACCCACGAAAAGAGAAGAGAGAAACATACGTGGCTTTGTGCAGAAGCAACTTCCTGAACTTGAAGCTTGTAGGGCGTGTACACTGTTCTCCAGATGTTTTTCTGCATTTCAACTGCACAATCTATTCTGATGATCGTGAGACACAGAAATGCGCAGTAAAATGCTGCTTTGGTATGAGCGTCTACGATTAATAACAGCGTTATTTTGGCTCATCTCATATAGATGCACCCTACAGAAAGAGGAAGTAAACTAACAGCACGAAAAGTGAGGGATGCGAGTGCTTAGTTTGACAGCTAGTGCAGTTGGTCAAATGGCATAAATGAATTTTGGGAATCGGTGGTTCGGATCTCTTTGTGGCTTCAATTAATGACCCCACAACAAAACAAATATTCGGATCAGGTTCATTTTGCCACAGTACGTCAATCGCTGCAGCCAGACGCTCAGGCGTAGATCTGGCTTGGGCCTCTGGTGTGAGCGTTGTCAGCTCCTAGTCGGTCTTGTGTGGGCTGGGTAGGCTTTACGACGCTGACGTAGTCTTTGACACAGAAGTCCATGTTTTTAGCTCTGAGAGCAGCGGTGTGAAGCTTCTCCAGGAAGTCTGGCATGCCTGTGGGACAGAGAGGAAGTGAAATCGATGTGAACAGGTGTCAAGAAACGGCAGCTGCAGAAAGGGCAGAACTCAAGGACAACTATCATAACGGGAACCAAATCATCTGTGAAATTCCAAACTGTGATACTAAGATGAATAACAGTTTTCTATGAGAATATATTTTTAAATGCTATTTATTCCAGTGATCAAAGCTGATTTTTCATCATCATTACTTCAGTCTTCAGCTTCACATAAATGCTGATTTGCTGCTAAAGAACAATTCTTATTATCATCTTAATATTTTTGCAGAAACAGTGATATATTGTTTCTTTGATGAATAGAAGTTCAAAAGAACAGCATTTGTTTGACATTATAAAAGTCTTTACTGCCACTTTTTATCAATTTAATGCACCCTTGCTAAATAAAGTGTGGCAAAAAGGTCATTTTGGACCCTGGACATTTCAGGACAGTGAGTGCATTAAACAGACGGCTCACCACTAGACACCATCCAGCTGACGCAGTAGCGAGGGAAGACCGTCTGGGGATCGTCGCTGTAGGTCAGCAGGTAGTCAAAGCCATTCTGTTAAGACAACATAATTAACTTAAGACTGCATACTAAGACCAACCGCAGACCGACTGACACACAGGAGATTCCCTGTTCTCACCTCATCAAATGACCTGTGTGGGCGGATGACCAACTTAGACTGGTAAGAGTGCACTCGGACGAATTCCTGGGTCTCTGGGACAATGGGGTGTTTAACAGCTCTGCGTGGAGAAAAAAAAGGCAAATTTAATAAAAGGGAAACACTTAAACCAATAAACACTAATTCAAATATTACTAAATAATGCCTTTAAAACATGGCAATAACACTTACCTAGAGACTAACATCATTAAGTTGTTCTCCACATCGATGTGATAACGGCGCACATAGACGTAGTCTCTGGAGTACATAGGATACTGCACAGGAAAGGTCAACAAGTAATAGCATTATTAACTATTAAACAACAATGTAAATACTAACAGATACATCAAATTAAAAAATTAAGCTTACGCATATGTTTACTTGACAACGATGTATTAAAAACGGAAACGTTTTTCATGTACAGACGACAAAGTTGTCAAAATGATCCCCGTTCATTCGGATACGTGAAAACGGCTGTATTATTCATGCCAGGCCAGTAGATGGCGAAGTCACTAAATAAAGAAACACTTCGTGCCTATAGACTGAACATCTGATATGCATGCGCATAACGTCACCGTTTTCACAAATTCACGTTTTTTTAGTTTACACGGAGACAAAAATGGTATTGTTTTCAAAAACTTTGTTAAAAAAGCGGTGTCCTGTAAACGGCCCCTAAAACAACTAATATATTTGTTATTCTTGTCATTTTAATCAAGTTACACTGTGAACAATACTGGTATTGAATTTATAACTCAAATATGTAAATTCATTGTAATGTAATAAATACTTAAAATCCTACACCCACAAGTCCTTGCACTTAAATTATTGACGTATGCTTGGTCACACTTAAAGTAGTCGACCTATTAAGATTTTGAAGTTTAAATCATCCAAGCAACTTCCTTCATCAACGAATTCACAAGCACAAAGCACAAAGAAGATTAGGATTAAAGGCTTTTAAATCTTCTGTCAACTAGTACTAGATTACACTTCCTTTAATTCAACTCAGGCCAACTCACTTTCCATTGCAAAATGTCTTGTTATGACAGAACACAGCAGAGAACTGGATTAATAGCTTACTGGAAAATGAGTCGCCCAATGAACGACCTCGGTGCCTGTGTTGACATCCCTGTCCACCACTTCCAGTTTGATAACCAGTGCGTCCCACTTCTTTCTGTACTCTGTGTCCAACTGGTGTGAAGGGAAATATTTGGGAGTCTAAATATAACATTCAAATTCCAACCACATGCGCTCACCTAGAAATATCATCATAGATAACAAGAGTGCAAGGCAGGTGATGCGTGAAACGTGTAAAGCCCAAAGTATACTTCGTTCTTTACGAGTATGTGAATGGCTGCACACATGGTGCACGGATACTGTGCTGACGCCAAAAGTCGCGTCATGCGCATAACCAAGTGTACACGCAAGAAGCGAAGAATACTTTGGGCTTTAGGCTATGGAAAGACTGAGCAATCCTGGGGCACACAATCACCCAAGACAAACCCAAAAGTAGTTTTTGTCTAGCTGGAATAATGAAATAAACTGCACAAGCTTAATATTAATTCTATTATTTAGTACCTGGACATTGAAGAACTGCCGGGGGGTGACGTCTGTATATGAACCAAACACTGTAAAGATGTAAATAGATTATTTGAATAGTAATAGACAAATGATTATGATGATTATAATTTAAATATCAAAGTTTCTAAAGGTGCACATGTCCTTGCAGAAACATCCCATTCAAAACACACATTCATATACAAAAATATATTTATTATAAGTAATGAGACAACAAATATATGTAATGTTACCATTTAAAACGTACCTCTGTATTCAAAAAGATGGCTACCCTGGATAGGTCTCCTCCAAACTCTGAAGTTTTTCTTCTCCATGACCACCTCCCAGCCTGGATCCACATACGCGGCTGTCTTTGGGGTCACATTCTGGCTCCTCACCGACTCCATGGCCTGCAGCTCCCATGCACACCTAAAGCACAGGTTCACACAAGTTGCTTAAAAAATAAGAACATGAAAAGATGCTAAATGTGTTCAAATATGACATTTTGCTAAACTGTGCCTCTCCCCTCACCAAAACCACACCCTCAAAATCCCCACAGCCAATCCGATGTTAGTAGACCTGAATGCGAAAAGTGATTGACAGGTAGAGAGCGTTTCTGATTGTAAATAAAAGGGCGGCCTGCTCCACTGTCGCTATTTTGCTTCTTACAAAGCTAAGGCACTGTTGATAATAGACACGTAAGATAGCTTAAAGGAAGGGTAGGCAATTTGTTTTATAAAAACTTTAAGTTATACTAAAACTAAACTTCTCTTCACATTCTGATAGCAATCAATAATAGAAGTGGTCTAAATACTAAAACATGTAGGCCTACATATATCTTCTGTGCAAGTCACAGGACCAAAACCTGTCCAATCATTGCATTACAATTAGTGATCGACCGATATATCGGCCAGCCGATATATCGGGCCGATATTTGCGGTTTTTACGTGTATCGGAATCGGCCGATACGCGGCTGCTGCGTTGGCCGATAGTTTTTTCCCGGCATTATTTATGGACAGGCGTCCACAGGCAGCTCTGTGCTGCTGGAGACGCTGCAGTTCACGTGCAGACCCTGCACTGTCCCTCCCCCACTAGCAGAGTGCAACCTGCGCTTCAAGATAACGGTAACTTTTAAACTTTCAAAGCATCTTTTAACTGTTTGACTGCTGAAATATTGTCAAACACTTTGAAAATGGAAACACGTTGCTTTATAACTGTTATGTGGTTGCAACTATATAGCTAAGCAAGTTTGTGGGTCCAAATGGAAAACGCAAATGACTCGTCTATAAAACTGCTTGCTTGCCATTGTATTTAGGGAGCTGCAAATAGCTGTAGGCTATCCGTTCAGTATGCATTAGGGCTGTCAATGAATATTCTAAATACGAATATATATTCGAATAGTTAAAAAAAAAATGAATTTTGAAGGTGAAAATTAATATTCGAATGTGGAAAAACACGCCCGCGGTAGCAGACTAACGTTACCACAGCACAGCTCGCTCGGAGCGCTCAGTGTCGGTTCTATGTACTGTGAAACTTCAATTAATGTATTTGTTTCAATCACTGAATGAAGCCTGCTATATACCTTAAATTGCTTGCACAAAACTCTTGATCAGCACTCAACATTTGTTTGTTGTTCATTTAAACCGGTATGCGCGGAGAGCGTGAGGGTGAGTGCGAGAGAGAGAGAGAGAGGCGCACTGCCTGCGAGTCGGGGCGAGCCAGAGTGAGCTCTGCGGTCTTGGCCATTAGTTGATTTACTGGGGTTTTTTTTGTAGTAATACGTTGTCAAATATGTTTAAACTCAAATAAGCTACTTAATACTAGTAGTTATGTCTCTTTGTATTAATTTGTCCTGTTATTGACGTAATGCGCGTCATTGACCAAATGCACGACGATATGCTCAAATATGTTTTTTTAGAGGGAATATACAAACGCCATTTGAGCAATTTTGACAGCCCTAGTATGCGTACGGTAGCTGTTACGAACACTGGTCATAGGATTAAGTAATACCAACGTTGTTCCGTGCTTTTTGTGGGAGATTTATTCAGCGACCACCTGGCTGAGGTTTGGACGCGTGTGGTGTGTGTCTCCCTCGCCATCGCAGTGATATTAGAGACTAGACATGCTCATTTTATTTTATGTAGAAAAATTTAAACCATGGCAGTAAATAGTTTGTTACTTTTAAAATGAAGTACAGTGTGCACTGTGTATTTTATTATGCTGGTTGCTACTGTGTGCAATAGTGTGATTATTTTATTTATGCTTAAATATTTATTTTCAGCAGTGAACTTTTTTTTTGTTCTACCTCATGTTTTTAATATTTGTTAAATATTGTTTATCTACTTGTTCTTGTTCTACCTCACATGTTTTTACTATTTGTTAAATATATATTTTTTTACGTTAAATAAATGTTACTTTTATTAAATTGAGACCTGTAACATTTGTTAACATCATGTCATTTTTATGATGTAAATTGAGGGAGCAAAATGTATCGGCTCCAAATATCGGCTCAAGAAAATCGGCAGCCCGTATCGGTCATCGGCTAAGGCTGATGGGGAAAAAATCGGTATCGGCACTAAAAAATCCATATCGGTCGATCCCTAATTACAATGTCCTACCTGCCTGTCAACATATGTACTTCCATACCTCAGTGCACCCTGCTCGCGCAGACATCACACATCATCAGCGCTTTCCGTAAGGCAGCCGCCTTTTACAGTTCCTCCTGAACCAAAACAGGCTTATGCTGCGTTCACGCCATGTCATAACTGTAATTACGAGATGGCAACCTGTGACGTTCTACCCGGAGCGGTTCATGTCCTCAGACTCAGATTTGTGCGTTTCTATGCCAACAATATCAATGTCGAAATTAATACGCAGCAGTCAAGTGGTACAATAAGAGTTCTGTAAGTTGTTTACGTTTATTATTGTTGTAATGTGCTTTGTGACATGAGGTAATTTAACACATCTCTCTTGTCTTGTGATGCTTTGCAGACTCTGCTGCGTGCATTCATGTGTTTTGGAGAAGGCGTGGCTTTGGAGGCACTCTGAATGGACAGTGGGACCCGTCCTTATGCTTTCAAAGCTAGCTTGCTATTACTAGCCTGTCCGAAATCACCTACCCTACCTTTAAGCAGTGCGAATGTCAAATAATGAGAAGACATTATGTGTCGTATTTCTAATATTACACAAAGCACCTTGATGTCACATAAAACAATCCAGAAGTGAGGGAAGTACCTTCTCAGCTCATCATCTCGGATCTTCTCTTCTTCCCACATGAAGACTCCAGCCAGAGCCGCGATGAGCTTCCCCGCGGGAGCGTGCTTGCTCTGCAGGCGCCGCCATATGCTGCCCACGAGCGTCCACCTGCTTCTCTCCGAGTACAGGTTTGAGTACAGCTCTCCTATCTGAAGAGCCCTTCTCAGCCTCTGGCCTGTCACAAAACTACAGTGGCTGGCGAATAGAGACAATAGTCTCTCCTTCTTCTTATTGTCGGAGGCCAGTTTGTTCGTTCCCCTTCCTGCTTTTTGGAGCCATGACATCAGCAGGCCCGCGCGCTCACCCAGCCACGAGAAACTCAACGATTTGCTACTTATCGCACCAGTTTGATTAAAAGTGCTAAAGCGTTGCAGTCGGACAGCTGTGGCCCCCATGTTACACACAGGGCGATGCTGGACGGAGGAGAACATTCTAGAAGAACCACGAACCGATTATATCTAGAATTCGACTTAGAAGTGCACGTTAAAGCGCCCTGAATTAGCTAAAAAGCAATGATTTACTATACAAATTAGTTCCCATGTGGTACTAGGGCTCAGATAACAAGTGCAACCCAATGTCAAGTGGACATGCACTAACGTTAGCTAGTATTATCTTGCAATTTAGGTAACTTTAACGTTAACGACAGCTGAAATGCACGAGCAAAATAAACAAATTTTTCGTATTTTCATCTCATATTATAAACGCTTTAACAGTAATTCATTGGATAAACAAACAGTTTGACATTTGCGAACGACTGCAAAAACAGATCAACTGACTAACGTTAGCTAGCCAAGCCTTCTCGACATGCCACCACGGGCACACTATGATTAAATCAACGAAAACAACTCGAATGTTTTAACGGTATATCATACACGGTATTTTATAACAGCTAAATTGATTATCTTATTCTTATGGTTAAATTAATCTTACTTTTATCTTCATGCGTTAGCTTCATGCCCTCACCGCCTCTCTAGTGAAATGCAAGTTTGCGTGACAAACAAGCCTGTTGGCCACGCCCATCTCACTCTTTGCGAGTTATTGGCTGTCTCTTACGTCGAGGATGCGCCTTTCCTTCTAATAGGCCAATAGGGCTGTCTGTCTTCTTTGTTCCAGACCGTGGATCAACCAGCATGTTTACATGACTCACCTTAAGTCAACCCCAATGGTAAAGGTCCTCTACAATTGTAAGGTTAAACATTTACCACGTGGCTGGTCCGTGCTGTAACGATTAAATTAATTGATAAACCACTTATTTCATGCATAGTATTCAGAATTGGTATACGTGTGTACACTACCAGTCAGAAGTTTGGTCACACCTACTTATTATTTATTATTACATCATCGCATTTTGGAGTAACTACGATTTTTTTGTTGTTGGTAAAATTCATGCATAGGCCGTATCTATCTATCTATCTATCTATCTATCTATCTATCTATCTATCTATCTATCTATCTATCTATCTATCTATCTATCTATCTATCTATCTATCTATCTATCTATCTATCTATCTATCTATCTATAAATATTTAAATATTTAAATATAACTGTCAGGACAGATCATAAAACAAAGTGCTTTCTTTCTTTCTTTCTTTCTTTCTTTCTTTCTTTCTTTCTTTCTTTCTTTCTTTCTTTCTTTCTTTCTTTCTTTCTTTCTTTCTTAACATGGGCAATAAATGCCCTTTTTGAAATACATAAAGCCTGGACCAGGAAAAGTAGAAATGCTCTTGCCATTAAAGTTGTTTTGCTGTGGCCACATGGGGGAGTTACAGCATATCTTCATAGAGCTTCTTTTAACTCTATCCCATGATGTAGCATAGATGAATTAGAGTGGATGCAACTACTGGAAACAGGAAGCGCCTTTGAAATGTGAAAATTGAACACATGACCATTACTCATCTCCAACAGACAACAATTTAGGCCAGTTTTACCTTAATGTATAATTCCAAACCTGCTATATTTGAATCTGTTTGTATATACAGTGTAGCCTACATTGTGTGTGTGTTTATACACACACATACATATAATGTATACTGTATATACAAACAGATTCAAATATAGCAGGTTTGGAATTATACATAAAGGTAAAACTGGCCTAAATTGTTGTCTGTTGGAGATGAGTAATGGTCATGTGAGAGAGAGAGAGAGAGAGAGAGAGAGAGAGAGAGAGAGAGAGAGAGAGAGAGAGAGAGAGAGAGAGAGAGAGAGAGAGAGAGAGAGAGAGAGAGAGAGAGAGAGAGAGAGAGAGAGAGAGAGAGAGAGAGAGAGAGAGAGAGAGAGAGAGAGAGAGAGAGAGAAAGAGAGAGAAAAAGAAAGAAAAAGAGAGAGAGAGATTTGAGCATTGTGCAATTAACATTCTTTTCCTATTCTTAATTTAAAGGAACACGCCGACTTTTGGGGACTTTAGCTTATTCACCATCCCAGAGTTAGATAAGTCCATATCCTTTTCATCTTCGTGCGTGCTGTAACTCTGTCTGACGCACCCACCGCTAGCCTAGATTAGCACAAAGACTGGAAGTTAATGGCTCCAGCTAGCATACTGCTCCCAATAAGTGACAAAATAATGCCAACATTTTCCGATTTATATGTTGTGATTTGTATAGTCACAGTGTGTACAAATAACAAGGTCATATGAGACACAGCCATCTTTTAACCGTATACTGGGAACTATTCTAAGAAGGCGAAGCGGAAGCAGAGTGATTTGGGCGGAGTAATTAGCGCAATACTCTGGGCGAACTCTTTGCTCCTCACATAGAAAGAAATGGACACAGCGACCCCATAGAATTCAACGGAGAAAAGTGAAGTCAATTAGAAGCACTCGCTTGCTGATGGCTGAGCGCACTGCGCAGGCTCAAACTGAGCTTGAGGACGTAGATGTGACGTAAGCAACCTGTCTGACAGTTGTAAGTCTTCTAGTAGCTGTGCCAAGAGGAATCTGAATCATTCCCTTCCGAATCTTGCAGAGACTGAGAGAGTGAGTATGAGCTGTCCATGAGATAGCAGCAGGATCAACTTTATGACTCTCTATGGGCTTCTCCCTTGACTTTATCGGACAGTATGCCTCCTCGTCCCCCCGATTGCCCGCGAGCTTCTCCTCCTGTCTATACGGTAATTTATCTACTGGGCGACAGAGAGTCGTGTGGTTATGACGCAATCGTTAGCCTATTTTTACAAAAACTGCTTCTACGGGGCCATAACGTAAGATACAAGGTAATGGAGCCTTTTATACATTGTCGTGTTTCTTTAGAAATAAACAATGGACAAATGGAGTCTTTAAACACCTCAGATGTAAAGTTATTCGCTGTCAAAGTGACGCCAAAATGAATGGGAGTCAATGGAACGCTAACAGCAGGTGAAGGCTTGCTAATCAATGGCGGCGGCCCCCAGGGAAGCTTCTGTTTCCGGCTGATGGATTACCCCCTTGACTCCTCACCACGCATAGATATATACACTAGAGTCGCCTTGGCTACGGCAGTTAATTGGAACGAATGCGTCAATAGAGCCGCCATCATGGAACAGGGGAGCCCCTCCTCTTTAATGCATCAGCGTCAATGTAGACAAAGGTCTAACGGAAATAAAATCACCATAAATCGTCATGAATGCGATTTTCTAGTTTTTTTGGTTCGTTCCAATTGTCAGACATGTATTTATCATTGAGTCCATAGAAAATTAAAACAATTTTTTTAAACATTCCTCCTAGTTCAGATTTCGTTCGTGTGAACATCCATATGCAGCACAAAAGTCAGAAAATCCATGAATTCGAAGTACAGGCGGAGATAGCAGCTTTACCTAGCTACTTCCTATGACAAGACCCCTGTTCCAAGATGGCGGCGGTTTTGGCGCATGCTTAGAAGAACCCCAAGGCGACATCTGGTGTATATATCTATGCTCACCACGGGGCTTCTCAGGTGCTGCGAGCAAATCACTCCGCCCAAGTAGCAGTGATTCGCCTTCTGAGAATATAGTTCCCAGTATACGGTTAAAAGATGGCTGTGTCTCATATGACCTTGTTATTTGTACACACTGTGACTATACAAATCACAACATAGGAAAATGTTGGCGTTATTTTGTCACTTATTGGGAGCAGTATGCTAGCTGGAGCCATTAACTTCCAGTCTTTGTGCTAAGCTAGGCTAGCGGTGGGTGCGTCAGACAGAGTTACAGCACGCACGGAAATGAAAAGGATATGGACTTATCTAACTCTGGGGGATACGGTGAATAAGCTAAAGTCCCCAAAAGTCAGCGTGTTCCTTTAAGAGGCCATATTAAAGAGAGAGACGTTTTACAAAAAGCATTTTTGAATCAATTTAGATATTCCACATTTTTACCAATTACAACAGATCAATCTGCACTCCTGTTTATATCAGGGGCAGTATGTTTCTGCCTTAAATGAATACATTGTTTCAATTAATACATTGTTAGCTAACTGCATGATGTACATTTCTGAAATACATATGTATTTTTGGGACACAGTCAGCTCTGATATCACTCTATTGTAATCTAGGCATGCACTTTCTGTAAAGCTGCTTTGAAACGATATTTATTGTAAAATGTGCTATACAAATAAATGTGAATTGAATTTACATTTATTTTTTTACCAAATTACCAAATCAAAAACAAAATATTTTAATGTGTCCTCTGTACATTTATCCTCATATTCACAAATACAGATGTCTTTAATAGTCAGTTATACTTCCATTTTTTTTTCAGACAAAATGTAAATATATAACATAAAATATATAATTTACATAATGTAAATAACTTTTTAAACAAACAAATGCTTTTTATAGATTTACAAAAAGAACATTCTTTTCCAGCATCTGAAACATCTAAAGCAATGTATTTGTGGGGTAGATGTTGAATTTACCTTTATTTGTTATGCAGAAGCAGCATCCAGTATTGGAATACAGGCATTTTCCAGATTATAAATTTACAGAGTAGTAGTAATGGTTGAAAAGTCGTTTTACTCGCCAAATAAGGTCAGAGGGCGGGGTTTATTGTTTGACGCCACCACCATCAAGCGAAGACGGCCCCGCCCTCACAGTCCGACGATATATGTGTCTTGCGTGGACAAGCAGGAACTCATCATCTGAAGCCGGCTAAAAGCGGTTTATTGGGAATTTTTTTATTTAATCGAGGACTCAAAGCAACCAGCAGTGTCTGGTTTGTCGTTGTAAGATCTGCATTTAGTTTATTCACCCGACGTTAGTGCTAAAGAAAGACCGAGAGCGTTTATCGCATCTACCCCCGCGCGCGCGGAAAGCGTCTACGGGAAGTTGACTGGGCGGGCTACTGTGTCAAAATATCTAAATCGATTTCATCGACAATTTTCTTTGAGTGGTGAGTAAAAAATATTTTTTCTTATTCTAGCTAGTACTTAGTGGTATTTGTCGTACTTTCTCGTCGACGTTTTTTCCCTTTGCTAATTTGTGAACGGTTAGAATGAGCGCGAGCTCCTGGCTTTGTCAGCTGACTCGCGGTGGTCGAATGTGGAAAAAATACACACGTCTATTTACGATTAGTTATTGATACGGTGTCACTGATATATGTTGTTTATATGTATTAAATATTTATTTTGTTGTTATTTTGGTATGTTTTTAATGAAGTACTTATGATTTATAACGTCATATTAGCTGTTAGCGGGTGTGAATGAATGACGACACGTGTAGTGCGGAGGGGACACCCGGCGCGCACAGAAAAGATGAATTTCGCCCTGTTAACATAAAAAGCCGTATCAAATTCGTTTATTTCACTAGTGTACTATTTTATTTTCATATTTACATCAGCGAATCTAAAATGGGTTGAAAGCTGACGATTTAGGGTTCGTGAGTGATTTGTTTCCTCAAGCTAACGTTAGCGAGGAAGTGCGTGTCTAGCGCGAGCGGGGAGAACTGGCTGAAACAGCCCTACAGTGACAGTCAAACGCGTTTCGTGATTTTATTTTCTGCGGTTTCTTTGCCAATAAAGGCTGCATTGCAGTAATGTGCTGGAAAGCCACATGACACGGATTCGCTGGCAGCTTAATTTGAATGCAAGTTGCTGTTTATTGTCACAAAGCTTAAAATATTAATCAAAGTGTTGCCTTCTCGGGCTTGTTAGGAAATATTGGCTTTTTAGTGCTACATTTTCTTTCTTTGAATGTTTTAACTTGATGATTGTAGCCAAAAAGCCACATGAACATTGGATTTAGTTCATGCATAGGTAACGTTTGATGCCATATATTTTATTTTCAAAAGTTTGTGTTGTATGATCATGCATGCATTCATGTTTGTCTGTTCTCGATGCGTCCCCTTTTGTACAGTGAAAGAGTTTTCTAGAAACTTTCAGCTCCCCTCTATGGCGAATAAAGTACTGCTAATACTGCGTTAGTGTGCAATAGCAGACTTATGTCCAAGTTCTAGTCGCTTTGCAGTGAAATTGTTGCGTAACACGGGAACCTTCCCACTTTCTCCTCTCTTTTTTTTCAGGAATGAGCTACCATTCACCCATCGTGTCTGTTGCACAATGGATGTCCTCTCTGTCTGCCTAATTGCCCAAGCCAAAACAAACCGTAACAGATCTAGTCTATTCAGAGGATAGCAATAGGCCCTCACTCCACCCTCTCCCTTGACGTTACATATCAGTTTAGAGCAGTGCAGATTCTCACTCTGGTGTCTGGATTGCTTTGATTTGCTGGTTTAGTGAAGGGCGAAGGTAGGTCTGAGGCAGAAAAACGGATTTAGAAACACTAGTACCTCAATTTTCTGGGGATAAAATATCCAGTGTGCTGCTGCTTGAATTATTTATACATATTTGGTTCTCTACCTGTAAGATTGTGAAGTAAATTTATTTTTTCCATATAACTTGAAAACCATCTGCGCACCATGGTATCGACAACTCTGGCCACGATAGCGCTTGTGAGCAGCACCATTGCCGGGTTTGCTCGAATCGATACGGCAGACTATCTATGGCTCCTAATCCTAGGTTTCGTCATAGCGTTTATCCTGGCCTTTTCAGTGGGTGCTAATGACGTCGCCAACTCGTTTGGGACGGCAGTGGGTTCAGGTGTAGTTACCCTTAGGCAGGCCTGTATTCTTGCTACTATCTTTGAGACTGTGGGCTCCGTGCTGCTTGGAGCCAAGGTCAGCGAGACCATCCGTAAAGGCATTATCGACGTGACCATGTACAACGGCTCAGAGCATGTGTTGATGGCTGGCTCAGTCAGCGCTATGTTTGGTGAGTAGCTTATGAAGTGCTTAAGGACATTATATGTTATTACTTATTTTTATATATGCAAATTGAGGTTTCTTTTTTTGAGTGTGCTTTTTTCCCCCACCACTCAACAGGCTCTGCTGTGTGGCAGTTGGCTGCTTCTTTTCTGAAGCTTCCTATTTCTGGGACCCATTGCATCGTGGGGGCTACCATTGGCTTTTCACTTGTCGCCAAAGGTCAGCAGGGAGTCAGATGGTGGGAGATTCTTAGAATCGGTGAGTCGGCTGCATTCACAAAGACGTTTGAACTTGTATGATTAATACGGTTGTCAAGATACTGGAGGTGTGTTAGTTTCCTTATAGTTTATTGTTCTTTGTTCCCTTACAGTTGTTTCATGGTTCCTCTCACCTCTCCTTTCCGGCATCATGTCTGCCGTTCTTTTCTACTTTGTTCGCAAACTCATCTTACAAAAGGTAAATAAAATGATCTTATCTTTTCAACTTGGTCTTAATGGGTAACTTGTATGTAGAATGAGAAGAATATAATATATCACACCAAGGTTGGGTGTTGGCTAAGAGTGTATTTTGTCCTTTGCAGAAGGATCCAGTGCCCAATGGTCTGAGGGCCCTGCCCTTCTTCTACGCTGTTACAATGGGAATCAACCTGTTCTCCATAATGTTTACTGGAGCTCCTCGTGAGTATTTCTGAATTTCTGCCCTTTTCATGCCCATTAACATCCTAAGCAGATGCCCAGACTCTGCTAGACTGTGTTTACAGTGCATAAGGCAAAGCAGTGTTTAACCAGTGGGCTCTGGAGAACTCAGTGGAGCACTCATGACATGGACATGTGGTGTCTGTATTCATGACCTCAGTCAGTGTTTTTTCCTTCTCCATCATAGGAGAGAAAAAACAGTGGAATAAAGAATTCACGCCCATCAAAAAGAACCGTCAGCCTCAGTAGAGAAAGCACTACGTTTTTGAGTGCTGTTAACTGTTGAGCTCTGAATAATTTTGCCTTTCAATTTGAAACCTTATTAAATGAGCAACTTTTGCTCCTTTTTGTTTCCTTTTACCTACAGGGCTCAACAATTCAAGAAGTCAACTGGCCTGGGCCATTAAATGAAGGCTACAGGCCAGAGTATGACGTGATATGCAGCCTAGGAGTGTGTACACATGTGCACTCCAGGCGGGCGCTCTTTACGTAGGCACAGCAAGGTGCAGCATACACACATGCACATAGCAGCACACATACATTCTGCCTTAAACACCCTAATGCTTCAAGTTTTTTCATATTTGGACAGTCTATAGTTATGAGATGCCAGTTTGCTCTGTTTGAGTCTCTGTTTAGTACTCAAATATTAGAATAAAATTAAGTTAAGTTTGTTACAAAACTTAAGTGATAAGTCCATTCAGATTATGCCTAGTGGTTTTCATCTGATACATGGAGTTTCTAATGACTTTAAAGATTTATAGTCTCTCAAAATTAAAAGGCTGTCCTCTAGGGCCCACTTAATAATTGCAATGTCACTTCAGGACCCTGAATCAATTAGAATGAGGTTTCTCATCAGCTGACACACACGTCATGTGAGTTGTCTGAAAGCATGAGGACAAGGACATGTATCCTCTCACAGTCTCACTGACAATTCAGGTCAACATAGTAATAGAGCCATCTTAACATAGGGTTATCTGGATCTTTAGCCACACTTAGTGACATTGTCGTGTCATCTGCTGTTGGATAAGCTTTAAAGGCAGCAGATCACCAGACACAGTCCCTTAACTCCGCCCACTCTCAACCTGTTTAAGGCTGTTCACTCAGGTTCAGTTATTCCAAGGCTTCTCCCAGGACAGGACAATACCAGCACTCGCCGGGGGGGGGGGTTGAGAGGCATGTGGCATGTCATGAATCGTTGATCAACCTCCTTTGTGTTCTGAAGGGTGCCGAATGCAGGTGCACGTGCCCTGTAATAATTCAGTAAGAATGTGGCTAGGTGGAGTTTCCTTGAAGCGGTGTGTTTGCACTGGTACTTGGAAATCCTTGTTCTTCTGGTTTTATTTTAACTGTTTGTGCAATATGAGGATGACAACTCATTCCAATGCACATACTTTACAAAAAGTTCAACCCATTTAAACTAATTTGGGTTGTGATATAGGTGTGATGAACACATCTAGTCACTGGTCCTTTTCTAATAAACCCCCTTTTCCCTAACATGGTGCCTTAACCCACCCCCACCCCCAATTTCAGCACACAGACAGACATTCAGCATCCACAGTGCCTGTTCACCCCATGCAAAATACAGATGACACACAAACCCTTTTTCTGTTTTTAATGCCAGCAGCCCTCAGCATTTGAGACTGAAGTAGGCAAACAATTATTTGTTTGAATTATTACTTTCATTTAGTCAGCTAGTTCTCAAAATGACTACACATGAAGGCTGGAATAAACTACATGACTTTTGTCCTAATTTACAATCTGGAGGAGTCGACACTAGTTGGCAAAAGTCGGATGGTAGATTATGTAAACAATGATCAGTCATGATAATGTGTGACGTGACTTTTTGCTGAATTAAAAATTTTGTAACAAAGCTACAAAAACGATTCAAATAGGGACCATGCACATTAAATATGACAGAGTGCTGAACTCCTGTCAAGATTTTAAAAAAGTGCAAAAAGAACACTTTTTTTTATCTGCGATTCTTCAGCAAGATCCACCATACAATCAGATAACAACAAAGCCTGTCATTTTTTTCTTAAGGAAAAAAAAACGTATTAAGCTCTTTAGAAATTCTGAAACCGTGCAATTCTTGAAAAAATTCTTACTTAGAATTGCTTACGAATTCCTTACAGTTTGTCTTAAGAAATTTCTTTAGAAGATTTTTGTGAATCCTAAAGGATCCTTAATCCCAGCCCTTAACTTGTATTACTCATATTCTTAATTTAATAACGAGGGCCATAATGATTGGCTACACCCTCCCGCCCCCAGTATGTCTATGCTTGTTTTCCGGTCTGCTTTCTCTTGGAAAAACAGACAGTGGGGTGTTTTGGTTGCCCTGGGGATATAAAGCAAACACGAAAGGCAGCAATAACAGACTTTGTGGATTTGAAATGGAATGTTTTTATATTTGGCCAGACTTAGTCTGCATGACTCAAAACAGTTTAGGGTGTCAAAAAGAACGTTTTGTTTGAAGCACCAGATTCATTTGCGTTGCGGATGCCAGACTTGGTGGCATGGGTAAAAAAAAACTGGGTCTGTCTCCACACCGAATATCATTCTGGTAGTGCTACAAAGTTAGAATATCACGACATCATAAAAGTTTTTCATGTTGTCTGTTAATTATCAAAAACTGTGTGTAACCTTTGCAACAGACACACGACAGTCAAAGACCACAATTGCCATAATTGGCATAAACACCAGTTCCCAGCCCACAATGACTCATAAACCATCATCAACACGTCACCAGGATGAGGTATAGTGCTTGAATGTGTCTGGAAAAACAACTCGTGTTATTGTGTAATAAAGGCCATGGGATAGCAGATTTTATTGTGAGGCAAAGCAGGAAATGAATCCACTTCCATTCATTCATCCCACTGCATGGTTGTGGCCTGGCTGCTCCCCTTTTGTGGGAGATTGTTATTCAAACTACGTCGATGCAAGCATGAATGCATTCCCTGCCTAACCCACATACACAGGGCTGCATTTCTCATACACTGAGCAGGAACTGTGCCAGCCGGCCATAAGTGATAACTGGGCCCCATTTGTTGGCCTTTCTCTTATTTCCATCATTCACCCCCTCACCTCTGCTGGCCACACCTGTTCTGTGCCTTTAGATGCTGCTAAGTCATGTTAGAAAGTTCAGCTGTTCCTCCCTTATGTACCTCAGTGCTCTCTCCAAAGAATGTGACTCTTCTCTTTGAATCTTGTCTCCTGAGATTGAACTGGAGTTGCATAACCAAAGCACACAGCGTCACTGCATGCCCTGCAGTAGTACGTGCATGTGGCAAGGCACGGGAATTTATGCCCCACTGCTCCCTGTCCTCTTATCTCTAAACCTCCTCTTTCTGTTTATTTTTCACATTCCTGCTCCACCAAAGCCTTTTCTTTCCATCTCATTTGGCCAAAGTCTTGCTCCAAATATTTCCAATACCCTTTTTGGTCCCATGAACTTATGTTGACACATTTCATTGTCTGTGGTTCTGGACCCCATGGGGAATTAGTAAATGGCTGACTTGCTCAGCCAGCACTCTCTCTTGAACATGCAGCACACATTCTTCATTACCGCAGCTAACACCGCAGTCTTGGCTCAGATATAACCTTTCTGCAGGAGTGGTCACATTTTTTTCCCCCACTCGTCCTCTCAAAGAGGCGGGGGGTGATATCTTGCCGCAGTTGCCTTTTAAGGCACCCGCACTTGTTGAACATGGTATGTTGGCCTTGTGCGCTGTCTTGTCACTGCAACATTTTGCTGCTGTTTGCACTCACATCTCACCTGAAGTGTTATGTAAGAGGACAAGCCTTGCGCATGCATTCTGAATGCGACAAGGATATTTGACACTTGGTTGCAGCGGTTGTTTTGGTTTGCGTTTCTATGGACTCCTAAACAAGTGGAGCAAGTACATCTCTTCATAATAGTCTTCTAACTGAAAATGATAAATGAGAGCCAGTGGCTTAAGTATTCTCTAAATATGCATTTCTTTTCTTCGAAAAGGGTGTGAAAGCAAATTCTAGATGCAGCGAATCCACTTCTTACATCTTATTAATATTCAACTCCAACACCATTACTAACAACTGGGACTCCACAATGTCCCTGTCCATTCCCTAATGCTGTTTGTGTTGTTGGTAGCACATGCTGCCTGTTGTCTCAAAAGCACCTTTCCTTTCCTCCCCTCCTCTCCCTCGCAACCCCATTTGGTCCCTTTCCCCCTGTGACCGATGGGACTGCAGTGCTGGGATTCGATAAGCTGCCCTGGTGGGGAGTGCTGCTAATTTCCATCGGTTTTGGCCTGGTCACCGGCATCTTCGTTTGGTTTGTTGTCTGCCCTCGACTCAAGAAGAAGATTGAATGTAAGTATCCATTTTTCAGTTTTGTAATTGTTTATAATCTGTCGCAAATTAGAACTATGTCATAACTGGTTGCATAATATCACTTCCACAACACAATTGGGTAGCTTGACCGATCCCAAGTAGACTACTGAAAATGTTAAATGTGTGGGGTGCCTCAGGGGTTTTCATAAGGCCCATTACAGATGTTGTGTTGCACTGTACTTTGATATAACCTTTTGAAGGTTTTTTTACTTAAATAAGTACACACTTTAAATCAGAAATTTTCAGGCCCTATAAAATTCTGGATGGCAATCTGTGGACATGAGAGATTTATTAGCCTTAGGCCTAGCACCAGGTGTTTGTGAGGATAATACCCTACAGATTAAAGATTCTGGCAGTGGACAGCAGTTTTAATAAGTCACTTAGAAAGACGATATACTCTTTAAAGGAATGTTCTGGGTTCAATACAGGTTAAGCTCTGTCAACTCTGGATTTTTCTTTGTGTAAATGGCTTGTGTCTGTATCCTTGCACATGCTGTGCAAAAATACTGAATGTATGCAGAATGGTTTGTAAGCAGTTTTATTACATTAGTTTTATGTCGTGTTATAGCTATTATATACTGTATTGACATTTATTACCTTGCTTGGATAACTTTTTCTGTGGCTTAACTGCATGACACATATACAAAATTGAAATTTGTGTTGAACCCAAGACTTTCCTGTCGCACAGCTAAAGTTTAAAAATACAGTAATAAGCATCCATTGTAACGGCTCTGATCTCAATTACAGTTCACAATAACAGAAATTTGATGGCAAACAAATGTTCCCTAATCCTCAAGTCACGTGACAGAAAAACACACAAAACATTCTAATACCAACTGCACTTTCAGGAAATACCAGCTTTAGGTTAAGACAATCTGTTGTATTATGGTTCTTTAACACAAACAAACCAAGTAGTCTAGTGTGTTGTCTATCTTGAGCTGTATAGTCAGGCTGTGTATTAACAGCCTAATTGGGTCATAGTGATCCACTAATTGGTCTTTGCCTAGTGAACCGGAATAGCCGTGGTCTAATTGAGGTGTTGGCGTAAGTAGCTCCGTATCATCACATTAAAGTGTATGGCTACAGTTTGAGGTGGCATTTGCTACTAAAATAGAATGCAAGTGCTTTGACATTACTCGGCAGATCAGTGGACGATGGACCGAGTTATGTCAAACTGTCCTTGAAATGTAGGGTTATAGTGACAATTTAAGCAAACAGAGTGTTTGCCTCTAAAAGTTTATAGAATCGAGCGCTCATGTGATGGCCATGTGAATTGCCAGTGAATAAAGTCTTACCAGCCTTTGTACTTCTCACAAATGATTGATCAGATTCACCTTTACTAAACTAATTATGGTTCTCGATTAAATGTTAATAACATAAATTATTTGAAAGACTAAATGTTTGCATTCCATAAAGCCTTAAACCTGTAGTGTAAATGCATTAAATTATATGGAAATAAACTTGGCTGTTCCATCTTAATTTGTTGTATTTTACCAAAGTTCATTATTTTAAAATATGAATTGGTAGCTTGATAAGATAAATACAATGCAAGTTTATTAATATGTATAATAAATATTATAATAAGGGGTTTTAAGGGTCCAGGGACCCCCAAGAGGCCACAAGGAAGTGTTAAGTGGTCCTTGGAAAAGTTTTGAGAACTTTATATAAAAAAAAAAAAAAATTATATATATATTAAAAAATCAATACATGTAAATGAATAAAATTGATTTAAATAAAACATTTGAACACTTTTTTTGTTGTTGCTAGCAATCGTGGAGCTGACTATTATCTTTAATCTATCTTGTTTGATATGCAGGTAAATTAAAGTCTTCCAGTCCCTCTGAGAGTCCTTTGATGGAGAAGAGGGAGCTGCATGAAGCTCACAGTCCCATCCTGAAACCTGTCCCTGAGGAATCCAGTGCCCTGTCCTCTAACACCGCCTCTAACCCCCCCTCTTCCCCACCTCCTTCTGAGGAGCGCAAAGTCACCTTTAACATTGGGGATTCAGATGACCCAGATCAAAAGGACTGCAAAGAGTCAGAGACAGGCATTGGTAAGTCTAGGGTGTGATGCGTCACATGCCATCCCAATCATGACACACGCCTACTGTTTTTGTCGCAGATCAATCATGTAAGTTTATTCTGTCTTCAGCAGCTCCAAGGACCCACGTTCAATTCACCACCGGCCCCAGTCAGATTCCTAGCAATGGTTACTCACAGTACCACACAGTTCACAAGGACTCCGGCCTCTACAAGGACCTGCTGCACAAACTCCATCTGGCAAAAGTGGGAGACTGCATGGGGGAGGGTGGCGAACGGCCCATCCGCCGCAACAACAGCTACACCTCCTACACTATGGCCATCATTGGCATGTACGGAGACATCAAGCCCAAAGAAGCTGACTTCCGTGCTTCCGAAGACGGAGACAAGGAAAAAGCCAGCACCCAGGAGAGGAAGCGCGTCCGCATGGACAGCTACACAAGTTACTGTAATGCAGTGGCAGAGAATGGTGCACCCGAAGGCCTCGGCGAGGGTGAGGTCACTTTGGAGATCGTTGAGGAAGATCCTGGGAGCAGCCGTAGTTCTTTGGAGGAGGATAGAGCCGATGCTGACAGACCGGAAGTGTCGATGCTCTTCCAGTTCCTGCAAATTCTAACCGCCTGTTTTGGCTCCTTTGCTCACGGAGGAAATGATGTCAGGTATTATTGCATTGAACTGTACAGTGCTTAAAATTGTGTTTGCAGATTTTAAAACTAAGATTTGAGCATGTTTTATCTCTTTTGCTTTCAGTAATGCAATCGGTCCCCTGGTTGCTCTGTGGCTGGTCTATGAGAGTGGGTCTGTTATATCAAGTGCACCAACTCCGATCTGGTTGCTGCTGTATGGAGGAGTAGGCATCTGTGTCGGTCTCTGGGTCTGGGGCCGTAGAGTCATCCAGACCATGGGCAAGGACCTGACCCCCATTACCCCGTCTAGGTATAAACACACGCCCATGTTGTAATACCTGCTGTACAGAGCAAAATCTCCCAATTGGCAGACTTCCCTAAACAATACTTTGTTTAATTTCAGTGGTTTCAGCATCGAGCTCGCCTCAGCCATCACCGTAGTGGTTGCTTCTAACATTGGTCTTCCAGTTTCCACCACTCACTGCAAGGTAAGATGGGCCTATATGCAAAACAAACTGATGCAAAGCAAGTCCTAGACGGAGACTATTTGAATGAGATTGATAACTACAGCTTGTTGTTGAGGGCGTATCGTTTTGTCGTTTTCAGGTCGGGTCAGTGGTGTCTGTCGGCTGGCTGCGCTCCAGGAAGGCAGTGGACTGGCGGCTGTTTAGAAACATCTTCATGGCCTGGTTTGTCACTGTGCCCATCTCTGGCCTTATAAGCGCGGCCATCATGGCCCTGTTCACCTACGTCATTCTGTGAGGCCTTAAAAGTCCTCTCTGCTCTCAAGGAGGAACAAGGATCCCCAGAGAGAGGATGAGGGCATGTCTCAACCTTCCCTTCTCTGTCTCTCTCGTATTTCCTCCCTCCTGTCATCCTCGTGATGAGTGGGGGATGAAAAGGCCCTTTCGATTGAGCCTGTGATTCTTGGTTGCATCATTTTTAGCCTGTATTGATGATTTGTGTGCATTGCAGTGCACCATCACATGCCATAGGCCAGGGAAGAAAATGTCTTCATCACTAGAATGGTTGCCATTTAAATTCCCTCTTGTACATATGTTAAATCACAATGTTTTTTTTTTTTTAATGTAATTATGTACAGAACTAAAGGGTTTTTTAAGGTAAAACAACAATTACAATGCAGTATTAGCTAGACTTCCTTTGACATGCATTTTTCATTACTTTGTCATTTGAGTTCCTTTTATAGAAGCTTTTTTTTTTTTCTCTCGGTGTGAAGAATTTAGGGAAGAGCAATGGAGTTCTGTTTTCCTTCTATACATTCGGTAAGCACGAGTTTTCCACTTTTTCTTAAGCAGCCCTGACTTAACTCACAAATAGAGCCTTATGACTCACATTTTTAGTCCTGTGAGGGTTGATTTGCAAAGGAAATTGGTCGCTCACATCATGTTCCTTAATACAATTTCAGTGCCCTTTTCCAGATGTCTTGATCTATTTTTAGTTCTTTTGTAGGTTACACTACAAAACAAGCCTTTTGGTAAACTAAGCAGTTTCCAGAAATATTTATAGTCCAGCCGTTCTTTTAGTCCTCTTTTTTCATTAATTGGTTCCAGAACATCAAACTCTTCTGCGTGTTTTGCACCACTGTAATTGAGCTGTTAATATTTGCTCTGCTTAGCCCAGCATTGAATGACTATAACGGACCAACCTGCACTTGGAGATGCAGTTAAACATCCCAGCAGCTACTGCTAAGATTCAGCTTTTCCTTAAAGCACAGAATGTGCAGAATGCTCTGCTGTAATTGGTATGCTATTGGCGACTCTCTTAAATGCAGCGCGTCCTTGAATGTTTGCTGTAGACAATTGAACTCCATACGGTGGATTTTGGCCCTTTGTGTTCAGTCACCATGGCTGTTGGATGAAGTGTTACTAAGATGCCCAAACTCCCGTATTACCAGTGTAATGCTGCCCAGGGCCCAAAAGATCCGTCTTTGGAAATTAAGTTTATAGATGTGTATATATATATATAAAAGTCCCCTGCAAAAATGAACCTCTATGTTTAAAAACAACCAATAAGCCTCTTTTCCTTTGAGTGAATTACAGGAATGCTTTGCTGTGGTGCTTAATATCTGACACAGTGAATTAAACGTTGATGAAGTGAGTGAAGTTTACTTGCGCTAGATTTGAGACCATTGGCGTTTCTGTAAAACTTGATGGTGTAGCTCATCAGCTCCAGGCTTCTCATAGACCTGCTGTAGTACTTCTGAGGAATGTATACCAATATAAACATATGTATATATTTTACAAACCCTACAGCAACACGTATGACTTGCCCAATTTATTAGATAGGTGTGGGACAGTGGTGTTAAATGATGGTTTGGTCTGAAGGTAGCAGTGGTGTAGAAAGATCCCAGCATTCCTGACTGGACGTGAGGATCTGCATTACTGTGAAGCCATTTGTGAGTGGTTATTTGGTTATAAACTCAACACATTTAGACCTTACATAGTTGCTGTAGTTGCCTTAAGGATCGATCTCTTTTTTTTTTTACCAAAGAGGAAAAAAAAACATGTTTTATTTTGTATATTGCGCTTTGGGGATGAAAGATTAAAATGTCTTTTTGATTATCACCTGTCTGCCTGTTTATTTAATTTCACCAGTGAATGAGATCGCATTTCTTCTGCCATATTTATGCTGATAGTTTTATACTTGTTTGTTTCTTTCTTTCTTATTCAGTATACTTATACAGTATATCCCCTTATCCCCCCCCCCCCCAAAACGTGAAATTATAATCATATGTAATTGTTACTGATCTCCTGCTGTGAATTATTCTTAGTAGATATACTAGAGTATACTTTTATTTTTATTTTATAACTCTACATCAATATTTCTAGATTCCTTATTTTGAATTAAGTATCCAGTTTCATCTAGTTCAAATGGTATTTTTAGGGATATGCAACTTTGCATCTTTGGTCCAAAAATAAGCTGGGACAATGCAGCTGATATAAATAACGCCCAAATGAGCCCCCAGGGACTGTAGACGGCGCTGGCCTGGATAACCGTCCTAGATATGTTCTCTAACACCACCTACATCTGCTGCCTGTGAGGAGGAGACATGCAATCATGTTATTACACCCACCTGTAGCCTCGCATTTACATGAAGGCTGGACAACATCAGTGTTTACAGTCTTTATTTTAAAAAAAAACTGATCTTTGAAATTGTGTGTGCAAAAGATCACCATACACGCAGTGGATTTTGTCCAGGTAGTACACAGGTTAGCAATTTTGCAATGTTTTATAAAACAAGACTTTCAGGTTTAAAAGATATTACATAGATTTCACACACACACTATTTTTCTTCGTAATCTGCCTCAATGATATCCTCTAGAAAGAAAGGTCACATTAAGAAACAAATATATTACTTATTGTTGTATTTTTTAATTTGTTATAAATTTGTCATTTTCTAAGATTCAGCCCTAAACATTGTCTGTATTTGAGTACGATGAACCTAAAACATTGTTATTCTTCAATTTTTTTTATTTCATTAGCTGAATGAACATTAACAGTGAAAAGAAGTACTGAGAGCACACATCTCACCTGTTCTTTTCTCTTCAGCCTGCTCGCTGTGCTCTAGAACATAACAAGAGACTATATAAGAGAGAACAGGTCAATTGTCAAAAGGAAAGATTATAATTGCAAAAGTCATCCATTAAATTACTGACTATATATACCACATGCATGAATACAATCATTGTATTTTAATGAAAGGACATATGTTAGACTACTAACTGTTTTTCGTCTTAAATTATGGATACAAATAATGTAACGTGAAGCGTTTACCTGTCTTCTGTTGAGAGGCTGTGCAATAAGAGACATGTGTTACACAACTTTACAATAGCCAGGGAAACATTAGCAGTTTACAGTAGCCACACCAATCATAGAAATCAAATAACACGAGGGAAAGATGAGTTAATAAGACACAATATATATAGCCTATATAATTTACAGTGGTTTGCTTGTACTGTACTATAATTTAAATGAATATACTTACTGTCTTCCTCAGAAATGTCTAAATAAACAAAATCACACAACACAACCAGCGGTCAGTTCACATGGTCTCTTTTCAAAGCACAGTCTGCATTGTAAGTGACACACTGTCGCCCTCGTGTGGTGACGAATGGATTTCCGCACGTACCTACGGACTCGTCACTTCCGGTGTTCTCTCCTACGTCAAAACAAACCTTGCGTAAGTGTTTCGTCACATGTGCCTTAGTACAGTTTGTTTCCATAAAAATTAACATAAAGAACAAATTGTTTTTTATACCGTCAATTGAAAGACATTACATGTGTGAAGGGTCTTGATTATTAAATAATTATAAATGTATTATTAATCATAAAATGTTTAAATGTTTTAAATAAAAAGTGACAACTTTTGAACAGAGAGATGCAAATATGGTACGCTCCAAACATAATTACTTTTTTTTTTTTTTTTATCATTAGAACCCTTGTTTAATACAAAGCATAAACTATTATCTATGAGATTTAGCTAGTTTTTAAACGCATCCAATGTTTGTGTCTCCACCATAATACAGTCATTTTGGCCTGTCCCACCTCAGAGGTCATGACCTTCCTGTGTCCAACAGGTTAAATCATATGACAATGTAAAACGTTTTGACACAATCTTTTCAAATTATATTAAGGAACTACATTATTTTCTAACTCATTGTAATGACCATTATTTTTGCACACAACATTGTAAACCTAATATAAAACGAACACAAAATAAAACAGCTCATATAATATTTAGTTTGGCATCTTAAAGCTTGACAAGCAACATTTTTGCTAATTACTATTTTTTCCAGGCCCTATTTGCGTAAAGTGCCATATACATGTAGCCTATGTTGCAGTGCATTATCTGTTATGTTCTGAATGTTTATCTTTCCAGGAAATAAAGTTCTGAAATACTCTTTCTCTTTACCTGTATCGACTGTTAGTGCCTCTGTCTCTCCATCTGTTAGGATTATTCATGGAGTATAAAGTTAGAAAAAACAGACAAATTTGGAAACAAACAAATAAACAGGTGACTATACACCTTGCCATTTGCACTGAATATATATACATACCATAATAAATAATTACCATAATTTTGACCTATAATTAAAACCCTCATATTTCCCTTGGGTCATTTAGACCCAAACCTCATTTAAAAAAAAAAAAAAAAACAGAGTGTTCATTGGAGTGGTCCAAAACCTTGGGACTTTTGTCGCACTTGAACCACGAATACACACATAAAAAAAAATGACTAGATTTGAGGAGTTATGTGGTTGTAATAAAAAAAAAGTAACAAATCCTTCCCTCACGGGTCAATTTGAACCCCTTAATGAATGAATGGAATGCGAGGAATGCTTCAGTACATAGGAAAACCTAAAAACAATTTCGCAAAATTAAAACTTAAAATGCTAAAGCTTTACCAAAAAATATTTTATAATGTCTACATGTGTATCTGTATCCCACAGTCTATGATCTGAATGCATACTGAAGAGAAAAATTACCCAGACAAACATCTCATTTGCTCCATATATACCCCTTTTCCACCAACGCATTTTGAGAGCCGGTTCGGAGCCGGTGCCTGCGCGCGAACCGGTTCTTTGTGTTTCGACAGCCAAAGAACCGGTTCTCGGCCAGGAAAACTGGTTCCAAACCGGCACCAACTCTTTGCTGGACTAGAACCGTTCTTTTACCACGTCATGCTTACGGCGGGGGCTGGGGGCGGGTTTAGATAACATATTTTCTGACATAATATAGGATCGCAAAGCCAGGAGAAACTTTTGCAGAAACACGATGTAGTCCGCCATTGTAATTGTTATGCTTGAAGTTGGCGCAAGTGTTTCTAGTTTTTTTTTTATCATTTTTTTTAATTGAAAACGTTATTTAAACAAAGGAGAAAACAGTCACAATATAGAACAAATAAATGGAAAGAAAAAAATACACAAGACAGGAGTACATAACTAATCAGAAAAGATTACATATCAAAGGAAAAGATTAAAAGACTTACATATTTCAATTGTTTTTAAAGCCTTCTTGGTTCACGAGTTAGAGATAATCCCAAAGTAATGTTGTACTTGCAAGCGTTTCTAGCTAAGACGTATGGCGACGTACACAGTGACGTAACGACGTCGTTTGCTGGGCGCTCTAGTCAGTGGAAAAACAAACAGGTTCTGAGAAGGTTCGCAAGTTGAACCAACTCCGAACCAACTTTGAACCAGCACCAGTTCCGAACCAGTTCGTTTTTGGTGGAAAAGGGGTAATAGAGCTATAAGGCCACCTAGCGGCAAGAGTCATGAAAATAATATCATATTATATATTTTTTTATTCGGCAGACTCGCACAAAGTGACCCAATGTGAGATATTTTGAGCTGATTTGATTTGGTTATTGCATGTATTGGAGAGTTATTTTGAATTTAAGTTGGAAGAATGGGTTTAAATTATATTATTTATTGATAAAATCTACAACAATGTTTTATGCTGCCTGCAATGCATCATCTTCTAGCCTATTATGGTCTGAATGTATATTTTTCCAGGAAATACAGTTCTGAAAAAGTAATTCCCTTTACCTGTATCAAATGTTAGTGCCTCTGTCTCTCCATCTGTTAGACAAATGTGGAAATAAACAAATATGCTATTTATTTGGACATTTTCAGATGATTCAGATTCTAAAAAAAAAACAAGACCCATCTCTCACCCATATGAGTCGTTTTTAGGAGATCTTCTGTCACTGAGTCAAAGAATATAGAGAGTGAGTAAATGGCCCAAAATCAACATCAAAATGAGCATTTGAATCGACCAGCTTTTGATCTACTCCACATGTGTGTGTGCCTACCGTTCACATGAGCAGCCGCATATTCCGAGTCATCTGAGGAAACACATGTACACAAGTGACGTCAGCTCGTGAGAATCTCAGCACACACTGCGATAAGTAAATGCTAGATTTAAGAGCCTGTCTGTGAAAAACCATCAATGCTGAGTGAGTCAGTGGTGAATCGCGAGGTTATTCTGAGCAAACCTAGCATAGCTAATATTCAGAAGAAACTATGACCCACCTGGTTGTGTTGTCGTGACGTTCTCTTCATACACTGAGGGCAGACAAAATAGAGATTAGGCCTACATTTATCTTTTTTTTTATTTTTTTAATCTTTGTCAATCTTTGACTGTATGTTGTATTGGGGGAAAGCATGCAAAACAAGCTGAATGTATTTACCTCTCTCTTCAGGCGATTTGCTTTCATCGAATTCCAGAGATGCTGAAATCGCTACAAACACAAGCATTTAAATATAGCTATTTCTCTCATACACAGGTTATATATTAGGCTACTACACATGCAGATTATGTACAGAAAATGCTTTCTAATTTGGCCAGCTAATCCAGTAAGAATAAATGGTTATCAATGACGTAAATTAATTTATATATTAACGTTAACTAAGCACAGATAATTGCAAAGAACTTTGTCAATTAGGCCTACTGCTGATTTCAACCTTGCACATATCCACGGCCTAGTATTCATAACAGAAACATTATAAATATGATTATTAATATTATTTAAAATATTATTACATATTATAATAGATAGCCTATCATGTATTATATATATATATATATGCTATATATAAGCCTATATATAGCATATATTATATGTAAATAATATAATATTATATATTATAGATAAATATTTTTTTCTTCTTAAATATATACATGCATGTGTGTGTATTTATATATACAAAATAATTATACACTGTACACACACATATAATATGTAAACTTTTATTTTGGATGCGATTAATCGTTGTCCAGCACTAATATATATATATATATATTTATATATACAATGTATATTCAAATAAATATATACATTGTATGTATTCAATTAAAAAACAAGACACGGAGTAAAAAATTATATGATAAATAATTTATGCATTGCTTTAACTCATCAAAGTAAGTTAAGCAATTTCAACTTTTTTTTAATAAGTTTTACAAGATTCAACTAATTTTTCAAACTCAGTTTAATGTAATTTAAGTTGAAATGACTTGATTGATTGTACTTAAAAATTTAAGGCAGCAACTTTATTATTTTTTCAGTGCATGTTTGTTCAAGACTGGCAATACAACAACAACAAAAACAGATAAACTAGACAGACATCAATGTACAAATGTTGTTATATTGTAATCTTACCATTGTGGAATCCTGCCACTGCAACAAAGAGCATTATGGGTATACCAGTTCTCATCTCGAATGAAGGGGTGGATGCCGAACAAGTTGAAACAAAGTCCTAAATTTCAGTGTGCCCAATGCCAGTGTGTGCTTTAAGTCCCGCTTTTATATGCTAGCTGGCATCACATGCTCTGGTGGAACAGGCTCGTCTCTGTTTACCTGCCAACAGCTGGATGGCACCTCTCGCCCGACACACAGATGTGGCATTATTCCCACATTGAATGACTCGCATTGTGGACTTTGTGATCAGACGTAACTTTATTGTGTTCAGTGGTGACTGGTGTGAGAATGGGATGGGTGTTAATTTGTGTTTTCAAAAGTAAATGGTCATTTCCTCTCCAAATTGGTGTGCGTTTGGCATCTTAGTAAAGGAAATGATTGATTGTGCTCAGAGATCTGATGTCACTGCAGTTGGCACACTGGTTTGTTGTTGTGTTGAGAGTGAGATTTTTCTTCCTACTCCTTTTCGCACATGTAATAGAAGTATGTTAACAGGAAAGAAGTGTACTTTGTTTGCTGCTCATTTGTTGTTTTTTCCTCCTATCTTTTTAAACATTGTTTTATATTTTTACTTTCTTTTCCATGTTCGAAATAAAGATTTTAAATTCAAAAATTATGTTTTACACTCTTCTAAAGGAAATGATAAGCATATACGATGACCGAGGATTACATTAATGTCTCACTTTGCCCCATAAGGTACCATTTTGGAGAAAAGTAACTCTGGGCTACTAGCTAAATAGGTTTATATGTTATCAAGTCACCAACATGATATTTCCAATCTGTTTTGAGATCATAGCTGCCATATAGAAATTATAATTTAACAAAATCATTTTTGAGTATTCTCACACGTTCTCCAATTAATCACAGACGGTCACATAAAAATTTCCACACTCAAAAATTATACACACCTGTTTTGCACCGGACCAGTGATCATGCAGCTTCTGACGCACAGTAATATAAGTGTACATCACTTTTATCTTAATTAAACAGCAGACCGTTTTGACATTTAAAAGTATTTACAATATATATATTTTGTTATGTAATGGAAATGCCATTTATACAAATCAAATGTGGCGTTCAAAAGTTTTTAGGTCCACTTTAGATTTATTTAACCTTTGTTAAGCTAAAAAGAATTAAGAAATTAAATGTTAAACGTTTGTTGTAGTTAAATGTTTTATTGTTACTTGCCACTTAGATAACTTTAATAAACTTTACCAAAAATCACAAAGTTGGTATTCCATTGGTGCGGAGCCCCTAAAGGGACATTATTGAAAAAATTATATTTCAATGCTTTCGTGTTCTTTCGCAAATATTTTGCGTTCCTTCAAGAATTTCGTGTTTGGTTGCTAAATGTTTTCGTTCCCCCGAGAAACTGCATTAAAAACATGAGATAGGAGGAAACATTACATTTCTAAATTTTTGCATTTGCTCGCAAAATGTTTACATTCCCCAGAGAAACTATGCGTTCACTTGCAAAACGTTTGTGCTCCCTCGCTAAAACTATTGCGTTCCCCCAAGAAACTTTTTACAGAGCCCCTAAAGGGACATCCCCTGAGAAACTTTGCGTTCACTCGCAAAACGTGTGCGTTCTCCTGAGAAACTTTGCGTTCACTCGCAAAACGTGTGCGTTCCCCTGAGAAACTTTGCGTTCACTCGCAAAACGTGTGCGTTCCCCTGAGAAACTTTGCGTTCACTCGCAAAACGTGTGCGTTCTCCTGAGAAACTTTGCGTTCACTCGCAAAACGTGTGCGTTCCCCTGATAAACTTTGCGTTCGCTCGCAAAACGTGTGCGTTCCCCTGATAAACTTTGCGTTCGCTCGCAAAACGTGTGCGTTCCCCTGATAAACTTTGCGTTCGCTCGCAAAACGTGTGCGTTCCCCTGATAAACTTTGCGTTCGCTCGCAAAACGTGTGCGTTCCCCTGATAAACTTTGCGTTCGCTCGCAAAACGTGTGCGTTCCCCTGATAAACTTTGCGTTCGCTCGCAAAACGTGTGCGTTCCCCTGATAAACTTTGTGTTCGCTCGCAAAACGTTCACGTTCACCCAAGAAACTTTGCATTCGCTAGTAAAACGGATAGACAGTAAAAGAGTAAAAGTTAGCATTCCCCTGAGAAACTTTGCGTTCACTCGCAAAACGTGTGCGTTCCCCTGAGAAACTTTGCGTTCACTCGCAAAACGTGTGCGTTCCCCTGATAAACTTTGCGTTCACTCGCAAAACGTGTGCGTTCCCCTGATAAACTTTGCGTTCGCTCGCAAAACGTGTGCGTTCCCCTGATAAACTTTGCGTTCGCTCGCAAAACGTGTGCGTTCCCCTGATAAACTTTGTGTTCGCTCGCAAAACGTTCACGTTCACCCAAGAAACTTTGCATTCGCTAGTAAAACGGATAGACAGTAAAAGAGTAAAAGTTAGCATTCCCCTGAGAAACTTTGCGTTCACTCGCAAAACGTGTGCGTTCCCCTGAGAAACTTTGCGTTCACTCGCAAAACGTGTGCGTTCCCCTGATAAACTTTGCGTTCGCTCGCAAAACGTGTGCGTTCTCCTGATAAACTTTGCAATCGCTCGCAAAACGTGTGCGTTCTCCTGATTAACTTTGCGTTCGCTCGCAAAACGTTCATGTTCACCCAAGAAACTTTGCATTCGCTAGTAAAACGGATAGACAGTAAAAGTTAGCATTCCACCAAGAAACTTTGCGTTCGCTCCCAAAACTTTTTTTTTCCATCACCATGTCCCTTTAGGGGCTCCGTACTGAAGTAATCTGTCATATTCTGTGTTCCAGGTATGATTTATTATTTATGCTGTGTTAACTTTGTCTTAAATATTCCTGGAAAATAAAATAAATTGAAAAATAAAATAATTGAAAAAAAAATCATGAAATAAAATGTTACAAATACTTTTCATAAGTAAGCTGTCATGTTCCAGGTATAATGTATAATGGTCATTTAGTGGGTTCTACGTCAGAATAAATGCAGTATAGTTGGTTTGGCCTTTTACAACTGTATAATGTCTTTTAACAAACAGACCCAGTAATTTGTTTAGGACAAAGTAAGTTTATTTAATTTAAACCTAACGTGAAAAATATTTTAAACGGTATTTACTTGTATTGAAATAAGTTAGTTTAAAATAATAATAAAAATCCTGCCTGGACACAATGATTTTTACTACAATCGACAAACATTCTGCGCGAACAGAGAGGCTTTTATTTTGAACATCAGTAGGCAGTGTCTTTTATTTTGACAGGTGCCTTTACCTGTAACCGTCGTCATGCGTACTGCGCATGTCAGCGGAAGTGGAAACCGGGCTGCGAGATGACCAATATTAAAACCAAACTAAACCGACATGGATTAGGCTGCATGTCCCGAAGTGTAGAGCAACAGTGAGGCTCTGATAGCACCGCCGCCAGATGTGGGTGAACCTGCGGCACTTCAGTCCCCCTGCAGTGGACGCACGGTGTACATTTACATCCCTGAAGAGAGAGAGGACGAACACAGAGAAGCAAGGTCAGTACTGGATGCATGCAACACACACACACACACCACACATGAATACAACAGAAGCCACTCGCCTGCATTTACGGACTCAGTTTCTAGTGCGTTCCGTAGTAACGTTACTAGTCTGGCCTGGAACACACATACAGCACATTTCACATTACGTTTAGAGAAAGTCCTAAAGGTTGGTGTTGTATCAGTTTTGACTTACAATGGAGCGTTGCTTGTGTCGGCCTGTGTCTCAAAACCTTGTGAGTTGCCTAACGTTACCTAGACAGCATTTTTGTGAACAGTGAATGCACTTGGGGTGTCTAGGAAAGGCACTCAATATGTCTCTCTGTGTAACGTTATGTCTAAATGTAATGTATATGAGTCTCTGTCTAAATTTAATGTATATTAGTCATTCTACAGTTTAAAGTAAATTTCGTGTCATTTGATGAAAATTATATTGTTTCTAACAATTTTCTTCAGAAAAACGATATTTTATCCATTAAAGGAAAGCATATTATCCCACACAAATATCTTGTGTAGCCTACCTAATGTTTCAGTATGCTTGGAATTGTCTTAAATCACAGTTTTGTTGATGTGAAATGTACCCCAATTTGACCCCAACCAGCCATATATTGATTCTCCATGATCTCCGTCTTGCCTAGAATGAGAAGACTTCCTGTCCTGGTCGCCCTCATCTGGGTCTGCTCTGTGTTTTATGTGGGCATCTTCCTGTTTGTGGGAGGCTTTCTTCTCGTCAGGCTGGAGGTCAACAGAACCAGCACCTGTGCGGACGTCTTATCTCCAGGAGCCCGGATGAAGGGAGATTTCTGCCTGAGCGAGCCTCGCTTTCGTAGGGCAGTGGTCCTGATCATCGACGCCCTGAAGGCCGACTTCACCCGCTATGATCCGGAGAACACAGCACCCAAACCGTTTGAGAACAAGCTGCCGGTGTTAGATGAGATGGCGTCATCACACCCCTCACATGCCAGACTCTACACCTTCCGGGCCGATCCGCCCACCACTACCATGCAGAGGATCAAAGGCTTTACGACTGGTTCCCTGCCCACGTTCATTGACGTGGGGAACAACTTTGCATCCAATGCCATCCTGGAAGACAATCTAGTGCACCAGCTGGGCCAAGTGGGTGAGTGAATCTGCAACTGCCATTTTCCTTTTCACCAAACCTGTCAAGAGTTTATAGAAAATGAAGACTATAGTATTCTATGACCACTCAGAATTATATATATATATATATATATATATATATATATATATTTATTATTATTTTTTTTTTTTTTTGTACAATGTACACTTTTTTTGTGTTAATCAATAATGTTCTAACTTAAAAATCTAACATGTTAGTAATAGTAGGCCTAAATAACACAAATAAGGACTTGTTTCTTGAGCACCAAATCATCATCATATAATGATTTCTGAAGGAATGATGCTGAAAATAATATTTCAGTTTTACTGTTTTTACTGTATTTAGGTACAGCCTTGGTGAGCATGAGAGACTTTTAATCTTAAAATCTTTTAATCTTACCAACTCCAAACTTTTGAAGTTTAACTTGCTTTTTCTTTGGATTTTTATTGTGAAATGTGACTTGGGCCTTTTTT